CAGAGACCTTGATCCACTCATCATTTCCCTTTTTTTCCTTGCATATTCAATCTCTCTCACTGCTTCTGCCTTTTTGTTATTTAAATATACTCAAATAAATTTCCCCCATCTTGGCCAAAATTGCCAGTTAACATTGAAAGAACTTCCCCTTTACCCAACACTCTCTACCACCTCCCATCCTAGACACACAGCACCCTCATAGGTATACATACTTCTTTTCGTTGTAAAGAAATATGTAAGACAACACCAATTCTAAATTTGTTCACAGGCGTCACCTTACATCAGCCGTATCGTGCAATCTTCACCAACATCCCCTGCCAAATTTCCCATCACCAAAACCAGCCAGCAACTTCAAGTGCTGAGTTTCTAAACAGGAACTCTTCCTTTCTGCTTCCCTCTTGCCCCTGGTAACCACCATTCATTGTTGATCTCCCTACATTTGCCTATTTTAGATTCTGCTGCCAATGAGTTTGAATTCATCCACCAGATGTTCCAGGGGAGAAAAAGGGGCATTCTACTCTCTTGAGATTTACTGCCTCTGAAAACCTGCTGCAGGATCAGCTGTAAGTCAGTTCCAACTACACAGTACAAAGAACACCACAGAAGGTACTCTTCAAAAGTACGTTTGTTGAAAGAATATTGAACAGTTCTATAAGATGCTGGAGAGCTGTCTCCAGCCCACCTTTCCGCCCTCACCTCCACTTCACCGCTTGCCTGCCGGTGGGGACCCTCTCTGTGTGACTTGTTCCTTCTCACTTCAGGGATCTTGCCCCCGGTCGACTCCTTTGCTAGGAAAACTTTCTTCTCCTTCATTTCATAACGACTCCTTTGAGTGCATTTCAACCTTTTGCAGACTGTTTCTGTTCTTTCCAGCCACCTTCATGGTTCAAATGAGTAATCACTCCTTTAACCCTGACACTTAAAAAAAAAAAAAAAGGAAAGGAAAAGAAACCATCTATCAAGTGCACAGACAGGACCCAGAATAGAAGACAGGTGTAAGTCTCAACATGCTTTGTCTCGGGAGATGGCTGATTTATTTAGCACTGACCTGTTAATGGCTGCTCTGGGACTCTGGGTTTTCTGTGCGGGTCCTCATCTTTCCAGACCTAAAGAGAACCTGAGGAGGAAGCTTGATGAAAAGTTTTGTCCTTCATCAGCTCCCATTTTTTCCAGCAGGAGCAGTTTTTCATCGGTTCCTCTTTCTCAACCTGTGACATCAAAAGAACTGATGGGAGGGTGGGGGCAGGTCTCATTGGTTTATTTGCTCCTACTGTTTGTAGCAGAAGAGAAAGGGTGTATAAATTCTGTTGACTTAACTACTTTATCTTCTAGGATCTCTAGTGGCATAGTGGTAAGGGGTTACACTGCCAACCCAAAGTCATGTGGTTCAAATCCACCAGTTGCTCTGCAGGAGAAAGATGGCTAATCTCCTCCTGTGCAATTTTGTATTTTTGAAAACATGCTGTAGGGTCAGTGACAACTTTAACTTATATCATCTTGTCTTAGTTTAGGTTCCTCTCCACACAAAACTGTAGGCATGACCTTGGGTGATGGTAGTCTTTTTGGAAAGTGATCAGAAAGCGCTGAGAGAGGAAAAATGAGACAGGGAAAGGGGAAAAGCCAATAGAAGGTGCCAATTCTCATTGAGGGCACTGGTGGAAGAATGTTCTCCTTCCACACAGGAGGCCGTGTTTGATACCCAATCCGTGAGCTTCATGCAAAGCTACCACGTACTTGTTTGTAGAGGTTTACCTATTGCTGTAATGCTGACCAGGCTTCAGAGGACCATCAGGACTAAGACTAGAAATAAAAACCTGGTGATCTCTTCTGAATATTAGACAAGGGTCCAATCCCTTTGTGCACGGGACTGAGACTGTTAGATGCCACTGAGCTGTCCCTGACTCAGAGTGACCCAGGCACACCAGAACGAAATGCCATGGCCTGGTCTTACATCATTCCCGGGACCAGCTGTAGATGGGACCATTGTCCTCCATTGGATTTTCCTTGGCTGATTTCCCAAAGTAGATGATCACCAGGTCTTTTTTGGGGTGTGGGGGAGATGTTCCTTTTTTTTTATAAAAAAATTTATTTTATATTGATTTGCTTACAAAGTTTGTGTACATTGTTTTTCACACTATCCTTCATTCACATTGTGTTTCGTACAATCATTCCCATTAAGTATATCTTATAAAACAAATCACCATTGGACTATGCCCGCCTTTACACTGTCTTTTCAGGTCCCGGCCAGATCTTTCCTATTTCCTTTACCCACCCTTTCCTCCACTCACCAAATTGTGTGACCCTGTGGTTACCTTCCTCGCCATCCTCACCTCTATGCTCCTACACTCCCCACCTTGAATCCTCCTTCATGTTTTACTGGTTATCTTCCTATTTCTGCAATAATCTCACCAGGTCTTTTTTCTTAAACTTAGTCTGTGAGTTATGCTGACATGCTGAAGGCTCAGTATTGTAACCACACACAAGCCTCCCCCGATGGCTGAGTGATGGCTGTGCAGGAAGTATATCGTCCAGCAGTGGGACCCAGATCTCCTCCATGGAAGGTGAGCGACTTCTACCATCTCCATAGGTATTGTACTGCCCCTAAGCCTCCCTCATGCCTAACTTTAGTATTTCCTTCTCAGAACTATTTGTATTGTTTGTTCGCTCTTTTCCTTACTTTTCTTTTTTGACAAATAGGAAGACTACACTTGCCCCCCACCTACTCAGACTAAAACCGAATCTACCTTAAAAAAATAATAATCCTTATCCCTCAGGTCTGATACTTACAAATGAAACTTTAAGAACTGCCTGGTTCACCTCTCCTTCACTTAGCAGATCTTACTGATCCTTAAGGTCTCAGCTTAAATATAATTTTTCTTTGAAATTTTTCCTTGATCCCCTTTATATAAGTTTTGTTAACTCCCCTTGCTATATTACTGTTGTTGTACAACCTTTAGTGACACTACGAACAACAGATCTGAACCCCATCCTATCCTGTGCCATCCTCACACTTCCTGACACACTAGGGCCCACTGTGGTAGTCACTGTGTCAATCCTCCTGGTTGAGGTCTTCCTCTCCTTCACCGACCCTCTACCCTTCCAAGCATCAGATCCCTCTCCAAGAAATCTCCTAGCAGCATGTCCAAAGTATGTTTCAACATCTTTGCCTTTAAGGAGCACTCTGGCTTCACTTTCTCTAAGACCTATCTGTTCTTTAGGCAGTCCATGGGATGTTCAGTGATTTTCTCCAACACCACATCAATTCTTCTTCTGTCATCCTTATTCACTGTCCAACTCTCACATGCATAGCAAATGATCAGAAAGACCATGGCTTGATTCAAATACCTTAGTCCCCATAGTGACATCATTGCTTCTCAATAATTTGAAGACGTTCCTGACTGCAGACTTTCCCAGTGCAGTATGTCTCCTGATTTCCTGACTGCTTGTCCAAGGATGTTGATGGGTTTTACAATCAATACAATCAACAATATTACTGTTAGCTGCCATCAAGTCTGCCTACACTCATGACACAAAAACACAAAACACCGCCAGGTCCTGTGCCATTTCAGAATCAGCTGTAGATGAGACTGTTGTGATTCATGGAATTTTTAATGATGGATTTTCAGAAGTGCATTACTGGCCCTTTCTTCCTAGCCTGCCATAATCTGGAAGTTCTCCTCAAACTATTTAAGCATCATGAAACATGAAAGCTGCCCCTGACATTTGGATAGTGGCTGTGCATAACATGAACTGGCTAGGGATCCAAACCAGCTCACCTACATAGGAGGTGAGAAATGCTATCATTTTCCTTTGGTAAGCTCATCCTACTGAAAATGATGAGTCCAATGAATTTGATAATCAATATAAAATGTTGGCTCTGTATACCCTCCAAAGGTCAGAACTGAATATCCTCTGCCCCATTGTGCCCTTGCTCTTAAGCTAGCTCTTCTATTTAATCATCACAATATAGAAAGAACCTTCAAGCTTACCTAGTCTGATCATCCACTTGATGCCAGAGATGCTACAGAAAATGCAAACAAATGATTGTCAAGTCTTAGCTTGAATTCGAGGCACAGAAACTCCTTCCCAAGGCAACACACTGGATCCTAGACAGCTCTGACCATTAGGAAGTCTTTTACTTTTCAGATCTCCTGCGCTTATTCGAGTCTGATTTCCACCAGCTTTGATCAACATTATCTTCTCACTGAATAATTGAAAATCTTCTCATAATATTAAAAACCTAGACCAGCTCTCTGGTCCAAATGTCTTTTTTAAAAAGAGAGTCAAATTTACACTCTTCTAAATAGTCTCTCAAGTGAGAAAATAACTTGCTTTAAATAGAAAGTCTTCACTCATCCATCCAAAAATATCAATGGGGTGCCAGCTTAGGTCTAACATGCAGACCAACAATAGTGGAGAAATGATGGCGTCTCTCTGAGGAGATTAAAATGGTTCTAAAATCAAATAATCTCAACAATGAGAAGTGTTCTTCTAAGAGTTGAAGTAGGTGGATGGGACTTTGGAAATACAGAGAGTAAGGAGTGTAGGAAGACTTCGTTTAAGAAGTCAGATTTGAGGTGCGCTTGGTGGAGGGGGAATATGAATCCAGTTGTGGTCAAGTTGATTCTGACTCATGACAACCTCATGTGGACCAGAGTAGAATTGCGTCTGTAGGGCTTTCAGTGGCTGATTTGTTTTTCAAAAGTAGATCACCAGACCTTTGCTCTAAGGTGCCTCTTAGTGGACTTGAACCATCAGAGCCACATGAATCAGTGGGAACATTATCTTTTCAATTGTGCCCTGAGAGAAAGCTCTCTTCACCACAGACAAGGAGGGGCTTAGAGAGGAAGTTAGAGGGCTGCTGAATAGATTGAGGACCATTTCCTTCTCCTCAGGACTATGAATTAGTCACTCTGGGTTTGGGGAGTCTCCTGACGGTTGTCTTCTTTGTAGTACCAGGGGCTGACCAAGTCCCACTTCCTATGACACAGGCTGCTGGCATGTGGGCCCTTGCTTGTCAAGTCCTTCTCTTGTTGCTCTTGGAAGGTGAGTGAGGCTGCCTGCTCCTGAACACAAGTTTCTCCTTCTCTCCCTTCTCTCCCTTGTTTTCTCCCTTTCTTCCTTGTTCTTCCTGGCTCAGACATACTCTTCCTTTGGATACTTCAACTGTTTTGGAATAATGAGCGGTAGTTTGTGGCTTTAGGGTAGAAACAAGAGATGGTGAAACTTGGAGGTATGGAAGGAGGAGTGACCCCGGGGTGGCAGAAAGAGAAGGTGAAATTTGGGTAGTGAGGGCAGAGATGGAAGCCAACCTCTGACATACGGTTTAGCTTAGGTACAGTAGAAAACCGAAGTCAGAAGCGGCAGCTAGAGATGAAGTAATAAAATGACTTTCTCCTCTCTTGACACTACAGCCCCATGGCCAGCTACAGCCAACCAGACGCTCACTGGGCTGTTTTCAATCTTTTCTTTTCTTACATCTACAGCCAACGGGGACTCTGGAGATGGTGTAGATCCTGAGGAGGTGGTAGCTGTTCTTCAGGAGTCTGTCTGCCTTCCCCTAGACGTATCATCTGATGAAGAGGTTGAGAGCATCATCTGGTCAACTCATATACAGCTTGCAATTGTGGTGGCAGACAAAGAGGGAAATCCAGCAACCGTTACTGTGACCAACCCGCACTACAAGGGCCGAGTGAGCTTCCTGGGCCCCAGCTATTCCCTGCAGATCAGCAATCTGAGCTGGGATGACGCAGGGCCTTATCAAGCTCAAGTCAATTTGAAGACGTCCCAGATCTTTACCACACAGAGCTACAATCTACGTATCTACCGTGAGTTTGTTCTGGAAGCCATAGATTATTTTGTCTGGTTCTCCTGAGCTTCCTATATCTCAGAGTAGGAGGTCTTATGACCCTGGACAGTGGTTTGAGGGGCTGGGCCTGGGAGAATCTCCACCTTTCCCATCCTTACTATCTGAGCTGCAGCAACAACTGAAGTGATATGTGCTAACAAGACCCTGCGGCAAGGAGGAGTCTCCAGACAGGTGACTCCCACAGGAAGGGTCTCCTGCACAGACCCTCCAGGGCCCGCGTGCCATTGTAGTGTCTTCTCAGTGAAGGAACCTGGTCTCCTAAGTCTGGTCATTTTATTTCTCTACCAGTGAGATTTTTGCTTTTTGACAGTGAATACAACCCCCATTCTTAAGCTTGTCATCTCTAAATGTGGCATAATGTGCAATGAATTGGTTGGCTGCTATCCAAAAGGATGTCAGTTCAATTCCACTGGGGAATCCATGGGAAAAAGTGTCCTCTCATAAAGCTTCACAGCCTGAGAACCCTGGTAGAAGGTGACTTATAAATTGAAGCCTACTGAATAGCAGTGTTGAGGGTGTTGTTGTTATGCACCATTGAGTCTCCTGTGACTCATGTATGACGGACATGACATAGGGACCCTATGTACACAGCTCTGAAGCCTGCCCTATCCTGGGACAGTCTCTCTAACTCAGACACACCTGATCCCTTTGTCCCAGTTATCACGTCAATCCATCCCACCCAGGGTGTTCCTCTCCTGTGCTGTCTCTCCACCCTTCCAAGCATGAGGTCCTTCTCCAAAGGCCAGTCTCTCCTGGTCTCCTGGTCACGAGCTCAAAGTATGTGAGACAGAGCTTCAAAATCCTTGCCTCCAAGGAGAAACTTGGTTTCACCCTCTCTGGGACAGACTTATTTGTTCTCCTGGTAGACTATGATATGTTCAATATTTCTTTGCTAGGATGTGGAACAGATTCCAGTGAAACTTCTGGATTAAGACAAACTAGAATTAAAGGCTTGACTCTCTACATCAGTCAGTGAAAACCCTGTGGATTTTAATAACCTAATTCTGTAGTGCATGGCATTGCCGTGACTAAGGGTCAACTTGATGACAGTTTAAAAAATTTGATATTTCTCCTTTATTCGAACACAAATTTCTTCTCTGTGTCTATTACATAGGCTGATACTCTACCTTGACTCTTAAAGAGACTCTGAAAAATACAAATACTGCTACAAGAAGTGATACTATTTTACAGGATCCAGGTAGTAGAATGGGGTTTTGAGAAAGGCAAGATATAGAGCGAGGAGGAGAGAAAGCATAAGGAGAAGGCAGAAGATATCAAAGGCAGCTCTGCTCCCTCAGCAGCTGTCCTGAGGGCTCTGAAGCCCAGGTTGCATGGTGGCTGGTTTTTGGTTTTGTGTATTTGTTGTTAGTGAGAGGGTTCTCTTGAAGTCGTACCAGGACCTCAGGATTAAGGAGTTTAGGAAAATAGAACCAGCTCCTGATTGTTTAGAGATATTTGTGTGTGTATGTGTCTGTGTCTTCCTTCCTCATCTAGGACGGTTGTTGGAGCCCCGAGTCACTGTGAACTTTGAGCTCTCTGGAGAAGATGCCTGTAATATATCCCTGACATGCTCCATGGAGAAGGCAGGCCTGGATGTGACCTACAGCTGGATATCCCAGAGGAACAGCACTGATTTAGCCCATGAAGGCCCTGTCCTCAGCACGTCCTGGAAGCATGGAGACAAGGCCCTGTCCTATACCTGCAGAGCCAGCAACCCCGTCAGCAATGTTACCTCCCGTCTGATTCATGCCGGACTTTTCTGTGCAGGTAGCAGGAGACCAGAAGCAGCCCCTGTACCTCTAGGACAGGAACCTTTAGGTCATTCTCTGGGAGAAAGTCTCATTTTCCCTCCCTGAGCTCCTACAAAAGAGAACGTGGAAGCCAGACCTTAACCCTTTCCATAGAAGCTTGATATCTGGATCAAGCAGGGGCCCTGCCCTTTCTGACCCAACTTCTGATAATCTCTTGTTCATCTTAATATCATGCCTGTAATTGCAGTTCCTGAGCTTCTGTCCATGACCCCTAGCTGAACCTCCAGAAGGTTTTCAGAGGCCGTAAATAGCATGGGAGGAGTTTGGCAGCTGATGGACTCCAGCCTCATACCTTTGCACTGGCATTGCCATTCCTTACCACTAAGCCACCAGAGTTCCCTGGACTTCTCTGTCCATAGAGTATATATTTTCAGAGGAACTTACAAAAGAATATCAACTGACTGATGTCAACTCATGGACGTGAGATCCCCTCTGTGGAATTTAGGGTAGGTGTCTGTCCTCTAACTTAAACCTAACCCCTCCCTCTGACGAGTCCTTCTTTCTTTCCCTTTCTCCATCTCAGATTCTGGATTTCCTTCTGAGAAGGCTTCGTCTTCCTTCTGCCTCCTGGCCAAAGGATTGCTCTTTTTCTTGCTCTTGGTAGTTCTGGTTGTGGGGATCTGGATCATCCGAATCCAGAAAAGATGCCAAATGCCAAAGATGAAGAAACTCAGGCGAAACAGATTGAAACTTAAGAAGAGAGGGAAGCCTGGCCCCAGCCTAGCCTGATAGCTGACTGGCGATCTCTGTCCTCAACTTTGTTTCTTCTCAGTACCCAGGTGATCTTTCATCTGACTCTGCTCTACAGGGACCTCAGAGAGGGAGATGCGAAGGGCCATGCTCTTCAAGGGAAGTCAGGCAATAAAGTTAAATTAAGCGGCCCTCACTATGGAGGAATTGTGCTTGGCTGTCTGTAGTTGGTTGGCTTTGGGATACTTTCTTCTGTATCATTCCTTTTCTTTTTAGTTCCCCTCCTCAATGCCCAAGTGCATTCCCAAGCCTTTCTTTAGGGAAGAAAGTGAGTCTAAAAGATCCACTCACAACCCCACATTGGTAAAATATTTTTCACTTACCTATTGAGATTGTACACAGCTTTAGCTTGCTTGGCTCCACAGTCAACAGTCTTGGCACCAGCAGCCAGGAAATTAAAAGGCGCATTGCCATGGGAAA